CTGAACTCGTGGTATGAAGTCAGCTGGACCTACATCATGTACTCGCGTTAGATGATACAGATAAAGTTGTTGGTCATGCAGGATTCTCCAAACCCTTGACTTTGATGTTCCCACAATCTTGGCAATGGCATGAATGCTGGTGGATGGCTGTTCCTCTATGCAATGCAGTACTGCCTCTTCTACATCAACAGTTTGAGCATATCTTGAACATCCCGCATGATTTTGTGGATGCAGACACCCAATTTCACGTAGTCGCTGGTGAATGCTCACAAACATTTTGCGAGAGGGATGTCTTCTGTTGGGATATCCTTCCCTGTACAGTCTCTCCGCTTTTTGTGCATTTCCTTCAACCAAACCATGGAGATAATGCATGTCTCTGAGCTCTGCGAACGTTGAGTCTTCTGCCATTGCAGAAGTGTGTGAATGTAAACAAAGAACAGTCTAGCAGACACACATTCCTTTCATTACCAAAACAACGCTAGTTAGCTCAGGAATAAACATCAGTCAGAGTGGGCACAGTTTGGAGGGGGTAAAGTGCCTGTGCATGCTGTTCGACATTGAGGCGCCAAGTTTAAACGAAAGGATTTTAAATGCCACTCTAGCGCTGCTATTTTACGTTTGTGGAAATGGATTCCTATTTCAACGTTGTTCTATAAGGAACCCTCAGTAGCTCCTGAAGTATGGCACCAAAAATTATACATGTTTTCTGTGAGTTCGTAGTAAAATCGAATACTGTAGTTTCATTTCAGCCTATATATACATCAAACAGATAACAACAAAAAAGGTATGCACATCGAATTTTACTATATATTTTTAACACATTAATCTGCAGAATCTGCAATAAAAGTACTGGCTCATGGATGAGTTTGGATATGCCCTCATGTATATTCTTTTTTGTTGTTGTTCACTTAGGTATCATTTTAATGCCTCTATTAAGGGTTTACTCAAGTCTGTCTGGTAATTACTACAATTAAAAATAAATATTTAGTACTGTGCATGCACTGCTACTAGTGGCGTGGGTGCATGTTTCCACTAGCGGAGTGTAAATGCCTGACTGGCCAAATTGGGGTACTTTGGCCACGATGACCATACTCATCACTGGCTCGATCAGGGCACTTCAGATGTTAAAGGTTAAAGACATAGGGCCACTTAAATTCTGGCAACAGAGGGCTGCCAGTAATTTAAAAGTCCATATGTTAAATGATAGGACACATGAATACATACACTTTTATGATTAGAATGACCAATACTGTGACCTCCCCGATTATTGACCTTTCCTGCTGAGACACTCTGTATATCAATTTTCTCAATGTATGCTATTTACTCAAATCTTTAATCCTAGAAAGTAGGAATTCATCAATACAGTAGAATGAGCGTGCATTTAAGAATCGCTTTAGTGCTACCTTAAATTGTGCCTTTTCATTCATAATACTGTCATGTGTTTCCTAGGCAACGCAAGAAGAAATTGTGTGGGTCTTGGATTTGGACAAATATTCATTGGATGATTGCTCTTTACATTCACAAATACAATCTTCACACTTGTAACATCTTCGGACGTTTCTTCTTCAGTGTTACAGCACCCTTGCACCACTATCTCGGCGAAGTGTCTTCTGCTCTGCTCGGAGCTCAATTGTCCTGGTCCCTTGTCAGATATGAACTCTTGCCGAAGGGTTTCATTTTGGCCTCAGCTATGCAACGAATCTCTTGTTAATGCGGGTATACCTGTCTGCCTCAAAAAATTCGTTTGTAATGGTGGAAACCCCACTGTTAGACTTTCATTTCCAGAGCAGTGATTTCCTAGGCGTTTCTAGCTGTTGACCAGTGATGGATGTCCTATCATCCAGCCTTCCTGGTGGCATGTCACACTGCTCCCCCTTAAGGTTGTTCATCCCAAACAGACTAACAATATTTCCTTTTCTTTCATTCCCGAGAGTTCATACTTGCAACATCTTCCTGCCTGATGTTCTGTTCATCTTCCGAGTGCTACATCCACCCCTTCCTTCAAGGGTGCTCATCCTGAGCAGCTCCATGGTAGACTTCCAATCACTTCACGTTCTCATCATCTTTCTCTTGCACTCACTCTAGCTGGGGAGGCCAACACTTCTATATTACCGGCTCCTGCTCTGTTTGCTTCTGCTTTCTTTATTTTGGAAGGGGTCAAGCCCTCCACAGTGTCCAATCCTTGTACTGTTGCTCTGGTTGGTGCCAATACCTCCACAGCATCAAGTTTCTCACCTTCCACAACCCGCCAAACATCCTGGCTACCCTCTTCATGAATTCGAGCCCCAGGGTCTCCTTGAGAGTCTTGTAGGCCATCCTCCTTCTTCCCAGAGGTGATGGCTGTCCTGAGCTCTGCCCTCAGACACCAATCATGGTTGCCCTCTTCTTTCTCTCATATAGTGGCCGCTTGCCACCTTGGTCCTTAATTCCACTTTTGCATTCCAGTCTCAGCTGATGTCTCCTCCCGAGAGTCCGTTCTTTCGGGGCTCCTCATACCACACTGTCCCTGACCCGAACTTTCCCGATGGCATTTCCTTGCACTGTGCCACTCCTGCATGGTGGGTCGTTCCTCTGCGGGCGACGGCCAATTTCTTTCAGGATCCACACTTTTCCCGTGTCATCTCCTTCGGTTTCTGGTGGTGTCCCGCACCCAGATTTCGGTCCCTATGCCGTTTCCTCGGTCCTCTGACAGGCATCATTTTGGCGTCTTCTTTAGGGACCTCATGTCGTTGTGCTGCCTCAGATTTCATGTCCACTGAGGTCGGCTCCTCCCATTCAAGACATGCCTCCATCATTTCTGGGCAGGCCATTGTCTCTTTGTCTCTTTCGGCTTCGATTTCTTCACACACGGTGTTTCTGTCCACTTCCAGTCTCTCGTCTTGCATGGTTTTCATTCTTGCAGCCACCTCTTCTCGCCCTGCTTTCCTTTCATCTTGGTTGACCTTCTTGTAGGCGTCAATCTTGGCCAGTAAAACTTCTTCAATAGCTTTTGTATTGGCATCCATCCTGGCCAGCAAACCTTCTTGGGTGGCTTTTCTATCTGCCTCCTCCTTTTCTTGCATGGCCTTAAGCATTTCCAATATTTGTTCCATGTCTTCAATCTAATTCAGTCACTTCTTACAACAGCTGTGGCATGTTTAAGTCTGATCCTGGTCCAATAATTAGTTTCAGAATCTGATCCTATCCCACTTCTGACACCAGTTGTTGCGTGTTTCCTAGGTAACGTGACAAGAAAATGTATATGGATTTTGGATTTGGACGAATATTAGTTACACTCACAAATACATTTATTCACGCTTATAATGTCTTTGGGCGTTTCTTCTTCAATGTTACAACACTCTTGCACCGCTATTCTCGGTGAAGTGTCTTCTGCACTGCTCGGAGCTCAACTGTCCATAGCTCTCGTCGACTACGAACGCTCCTGGTCTCTTGTCAGATACAAACTCTACTGGTCCCTCCTTGGATACTAACTGGTCTCGTGTCACAGTTGGACTGCTATATCATGCACTTGGAATAAATAGGGAAGACCTTGTCGAAGGGTTTTGTTTCACCCGTCGCTATACAACGAATCTCTTGTTTCTGCGGGAATTCAACAATTTTGCCTCTGTTGGGTAGGCAGTTTCCTAGGTAGTGTGCATTATCATTGCCTGTTGAGCAGTGATGTATGTCCTATAGCCTGGCTTTCAGGCAGCACATCACAATACTTTTGAGACTCGATGGCAGGTGGTTGAAAATGTTGATGCCACTATAATATGAACATTTCTGAAAACATGAGAGGTTAGCCACTGGTCTATGAAAGTGATGCTTGTTTCCTGTGTTCACACTGTGTAAAGCTGAATTAGTCTGAAAATATTCTTTGTTATCTGTAATGAAGTTCATTAATGAAAATATGTATCACATGGAAGAGACAGGATCCCTAATTTTTTAAATGGACTTCTACAAGAATGTTGAGGTTTCGCATCCACCATGATGCTAAGAGTCTTCTTCTGTAACACAAACGTTTTTTCTCTGTCAGATGAATTACACCATAAAATTATTTCACACTTCATTAGAGCATGAAAGTAAGCCAAATAAATTGATAATAAATATTTAAAATACCAAATTTAATTGATAGCCTTGAATACTTTTGTATATGGAACATGCGGCTAAATGGACAGATGGATAAACATGGTTGTAAATGGAACATGTGGTTCAATGGACAGATGGATAAACATGGATATGTCCTATCCAACATCCATTTATTTCATAAAATTTATATAAAGGTTATATAACACTGAGTTAAGCATTTCTTTACAACCCTATGAGAAAATTCTGTGACTTTTGCGTTATGGATGATGCCCCTCCCTCCCTGTCAGCCGTGACATGCCGTGCCAAGTGGAGCCGAAGTGAGCTGAGTCCCAGCATGCTGGTCGCTATGCAAAGCAAGTAAACACCGGTTGCTAAGCAAAGTGAGTGAACAGCGGTTGCTAGACAAAGCGAGTAAACAGTGGTGATGTAACAGGGGACGCCGCAGTTGCTACGTAGCCGTAAACAACTCCCGACAGCGTTGCCAGTAACACCTGTAAACACGACGTCAGACAACAGTGGTGCCTATTACATGTTTTCCCGTTGTCTGGTTGAGGGTTTATAAGGGAACTACGCAGCCACCAAAGACAGTTCTCAAGGCAGCAGCCTACGAGTTATGAGTGTGTGATCAGGAGCGACAGAGTTAAAGTGTAGCAGCCGCCAAATACAGTTGAATTGTAGTAGTCACCGAGTTCAGTTGTAACAAGTGAATCGTGATATTGTGAATTGATTATTGTGTAGGGTTGTAAATTGTGTAAACCCATAACATTGTTGTAATTAATTGTAGCCAAGACTTGTAGATTGATAAATAAACCAATTAACAATCTAAACGGCGTCTTCAGTAACTAAACACATTGCACTGGTGTCTGAAGTGGGATTGGACTTACACATGTTACCAACAAGTTTCAGTAACCTAAAGACATTACAATACATACCTAATAACTTTCTTTCTCCATCATCCTGTGGAACCCGGATTTCTAACTGTGTCTTTGGATCAGAATTTCCATGTAGATACAGAAGAACATCCTTGGTCCTCTCACTTAGCTGTTTCAGTTCCCGACTGAGAATGCCAACCGCAACGTGGTAGTGTGCCAGAGCAGAATAATGTTCCTGCTTTACCAACACCAGAGATACCCAAGAATAGGGAACATAGTCTTTAACTGGTGCAGATGATATTAAACCATGAACTTTACTGTACACATCAGCTACCTGTAAAAGCAAATGGCTTCCATAAGATTTTACACAACATGATTTAAATATGATTCTCTAAATGTCTTCAATACATGCTGCAATTGTCTGAGTGTTGAATATTATTCATTAACTGAGGTTTCTGAATATACACAATGTGATGGGAGTTGGGTGTATTCCCATCTTAAGGTGATGGGTTGTGATTACTCTGATATATAAAACATCATTGTTTTCAGTATTAGTGGCAGTAGTTGGACTCTATAGGTGCCAATATATACAGTCCATAAATCCTGATGAATGCTAACTGACAAGTGCATCTGGTTCCACTGCCAGCAAACACTACTCCCATGACCAATGGGCAATGCTTAAGCAGTAGACAGGAGGGGAAGAAGGTGAGTTCTTAGTTCCTAAACACTGGGACACCTTAAGTAGAACAGTAAACCCTGACAGTCCTCCAAGGTAGTGGGGGTTGGATGTTAGGCTAACAACCCCACCTTGTTATAAAAGAATTTTTGCACAGACTCTATCACAAACTACCAAGGCCAGTAACTGAAGGCACTGAGAGGGAGTTCTGGAAATAACCAGTAGAGGAGGCCAAAATCAGAATCAGGTTTTAGAGGAGGATGAGAAGGAAGTTAAGAAAACATAATCTCTAGGAAATCTGTGGAGTCCATGCTCATAAAATCAACAGTGTAAATAGGCCATCACCCAGCCAAGCTAAGGCCATAAAAGAATTAAAACTGAAAGTTCAAAAGGAGGGAATTGTAAGTACAATATTAAGACAACCATGCCTGAGTTGTTGGTCCCAGTGATGCATACAAATATAGTACTATGGCATATAGACCTGCTGCTAGGCAATGGTCACAAAACAAACAATAAGACAATGGCTGTTGCTGGGCAGCGGCCCATGCACAACATTGGAAGTACTGTTGGAAGCGGTGTTTGCCATGTGGTTAATTCCGAGGCTATATCACTCAACTTAGTTCAGTGCAGTATTACTGTTCATTTTTGGAACACAACCTGTGACCAGCTTTGAGAAAGAAGCGGTGACACTTTCTGCAGAACCCACCCATCATTTTGCAGGACAATGCTTTGTGGCATGCAGCACAAGCTGGGGCTGTTTTGTTCGATCGATGGGGCTGGGAAGTGCTGTACCATTCACCATACTCCACGGATTTAAGCCCTTGTGACTTTGACTTGATTCCTAAGATGAAGGAACCACTTCTTGGGATTCGCTTCAGAACTGTTCCAGAGATTGTTCAGGCAGCAGACTGCTCCATTCAAAAATAGGCATTGCTAAAGGTATCCTACGTCTTCCACATCGCTGGCAATGGGTTGTACATAATGCTGGCGACTACAGTGAAGGACAGTAAAACTTCGAAACATGCATCTATTTTGTATCAGTTGTAAGAATTTCAAAATAACTAATAATTATTCTCTTTGCCGGCAATTATAAAACGCGTATGCCAGAGACAGCGTTGGTAGCTTGGCAGCAGCCGCATCCTCTGAAATCCTCTGAAGTCTAGACTTCTTAAAATGCTGTGTGAAGAAATGGGTGCCGAACACACTACTCTGTTGTTTTTTAGTGATGCTCAATGGCTTTCAGGGGGCAAGGTATTAAAGAGAATGTTTAAGCTGAGGCATGAGGTGTTCTGTTTTTTAAATGGGGAAAATCACTCACTGGCAGACAGTTTCAGCAACAAGGATTTTTTATTGAAAATGGCTCACCTCACAGATACATTTTAAAAACTAAATATTCTCAACACTTCACTTCAAGGGAATGAGGCAACTGTACTTTTTTGGAATGACAAAGTGAAGGCATTCATGAGAAAATTAGAGCTCTGAAGAAACAGTATGGAAAGTGACATGCTAAGACATCTTCCCTACTCTAGCATCAATGGTACAAGACACTGATAATCCAGTGCTTCCAATGGACATAAAAAGCTGCCTACTTGATCATCTCATAATGTTGAAAGTTCATTTCAAAAAATACTTTTGCAATGATTTTGATAAATTTAATTGGGTTAAAAATCCATTCGAAAATGATCCTGGGCCATCATCTCTGAAGGTAAATGAGCAAGAACAACTCATCGATCTCACTAGTGATACTTCATTAAAAAGTAAATTTAAGGAATTGTCTTTGTTGGAGTTCTGGATATATATTGGCAAGGAATTCCCAACTTTGAGCCAAAAGGCATTGAAGATAATGCGAGACAGGCTTTTCTGCTTTGGCAGCTATAAAGTCAAAGTATCATTTAAGGCTAAATATTGCTAAAGAAGTTAGAGTGGCCATTTCTGATATTACACGGTGTTTTGATAAACTTTGTTCTCAAAAGCAGGCCCATCCATCACACTGAACTTTGACATTTAAATGTTCGATTTTCTTTGCAGAAAAAAATTAAATACTTGTTATTTTAAATATCGTTTCATTTCAATACATATTTTGGTTAACTGCAAGTGTTAAAACTAATTTCTATTGTAGGCCTAATATTGTGATACTTTAATTTTGAGCAAAAAAACTGCTAAATAGTACGCAGAAAAAAACAAAATAAACTGAATAAAACGTCAAACATACCATGACTTCTATTTAGATAAAAAAACAGGCTGGGGGCCTGAGTGTATTTTCTCTTGTCTGGGGGGGCTCAGAGGTAAAAAGTTTGAGAACCACTGATCTAATAGATTAACAGTTTCTTCACCAGATTTCTGTTCTTGATGTGGCATATTTGCTTGGTTGTTTGTCCATGGACTGGCTATTTTAAAACTTTCTATCACTTTATTGAAACTACTTTTTATTTGTTCTAAAGCATTCCCATGTTTCATTAAAAGAGCTTTTCTTTCTTTAGGACATTCATGTGTTTCTTTAAGGTCAGTTTCTATACATTCCTGTGTTTTTTAAGGTTAGCTTCTATACATTCCTGTGTTTCTTTAAGGTCAGTTTCCATACATTCCTGTAGTTTTTAAGGTCAGCTTCTATACATTCATGTGTTTCTTTAAGGTTAGCTTCTGTACATTCCTGTGTTTCTCTAAAATTGGCTTCTATACATTCCTGTGTTTCTCTAAAATTGGCTTCTATACATTCCTGTGTTTCTCTAAAATTGGCTTCTATACATTCTTGTATTTCCCTAAAATTGGCATCTATATGTTCCAAAATTTTAGCTACCATACATTCTAATTCATCCTTATTGGGATTTATAATGTTATCTGACTTCTTTTTAAATATTTATATTACACTGGAGTTGAAATTCTTCTTCCATTGTCCGATGCCGTTGCTCGTGGATGAGTTTGGGCATAACTCATACGTATATTCTTTTTTGCTGTTGTTCACTTAGGTATCATTTAAATTCCTCTATTATGGTTTTACTCAAGTCTGTCTGGTAATTACTACATTTAAAAATAAATATGTAGGACCGTGCATGTGCTTCTACTAGCGGCGTTTAAATGCCTGACTGGCCAAAATGGGGTACTTTGGCCACGATGACCATACTCATCACTGGCCTGATTGGGGCACTTCGGACGTTAAAGGTTAATGTCCTTACTGACTGGCGACTATTTCACAATTCAATAAACTGTAGATTTGTCCTGCTTCTAACATCTCATCAGGGACGACACAGAGAACACCTCTCCCAACTATTCATTATTGTTGCAACATGTAACTATCACACGGACTGAGCAGAGAACACCGCTTCCAAGTTACTCCATTGTTGTGTTATGAATCTGGATGGCCAGCAATGGACATGTTTGAAGAACCGTTACCTAGCAATGGCTCTCTTAGAGAACAGAGCAAAGAAAATGTGTATCAAACTTGTAACAAGCTACGGACAAAGTGCGGTGGTAGGCAACCCACAGAAGAACAGGTGAACAAATGAAGAAATTAATGTAGTAATTATGTATTATGTAAAACATAGGCCAGGATTATTGGAATAGCAAAATATACTCTAGCCTAAGGGAAAGATATATCTTGGAAGACCACATAAATTACGTAGTGAATAACACATCAGTAACCTAGAAAGAAAAAGATGGCTTTCTCATGTTATTAAATTTCATGTGTTGAATAAAAAGAATATTCATGACTTTTGAGACACTTGTATTAAAAGATGCATATATCAGAGATTTAGCCTTCAGCTATCATGTTATACCCCTGGTTTGAAGTAAGAATATTTTCTGTGAAACTCACCTGTGCTGCTTCTTGGGCAAGATCCAAACATACATCCACATCCCTCCGTTCACGTGACTGCAGTTCCAGTTTCTCAAATAAACATTCACGAGCCTGTGCCTATTAAATAAATACAAAATCAATAGGTTTGATATTTTCCTCAATTTCAAAGAGCATATAATTTAATTTGTGCTTCCTAAAGATTATCCTCCTTTGAATTACAGAAAGAAACGATTTGACCTGCACACTTAATGTTTCCTTGGTTTACAACATTGATTCTTAATTGTGGCAACCAGTTATGATTATATCTTCAACAAAACAAAAAGGAATCAGAGCAACCTCATTTGAAGTGTTACAAAATTGTATTTCAGTCTTGGAATTGCTGTTTTTATGGTGTTTTACACATCAAATGATTAATGTGTCTTATATATATTTTTCGAACATCTTATCCAACTTTTTTCAAAGCTGAATATGACCACAGCAGAGATTATGTTCATGAATGTGGCCAGTGGAATTTTTTCTTCAGAACTGATGATTTAAGTTCACAATAATCAACAAAAACTTTAATATTTTCATGTTCACGCAAGACGTTGATCTCCAATAAATGCTCCTTCCTTTCTCACTTACTATGATTCACAAACTATAGTAATTTTGTATTAATTTATCAATTAAATTTATTTTACTTATGCTCTGTTTAACAACCATGTTGGCAGATAAGACTATAGCATCAAATGGTAGGATGATAGTAAATAATGAACATGTTGTACAAAAAAAATTCCTCATCATCTAATATCCTCCACTTCCCACATCTATTTTTCTTCTTGGGTCCAAATATTTCCCTCAACATATTCCTCCACAACAATTCACCCAAAGTCAAGCTTTATTGGAACAATATTTTCACACACATTACATTACAACTATACTTTCATTAGGTACATTACACTTACAAGTCAAATAGCATGTTTTTTAATGTGACTAACCAGCATTAGTTGTGAAAGCATATCCAACATATCTGGTCCAAGGTCCATGCTGGGTGCATTGGTGAAATTCTCATGGATATACTGGAATGTTCCAGCAGCTCTTAAGAAACTATCTACAGCACTATCCAGTCCTTTAGGAGTAAGACGATCCTGTTTGGCTCCAATTTGTGTGTATACTGCTCCCATGTTGAACAGTACACAAGCTTTCTCAAATGCCACCGTTCGCTGACAGCTCGGCACTCCAGTCAGGGAATCATACCTGAATTATATGTTTCATTTAACATTAGTTCCTCTTATGAATATCAGTGTCTGAGGGTGAAGTAATGTCTACGTTTTTTTTTTACTTACAAGTCAAATAGCATGTTGCAATGTGTCTTATTTATACACTGAATTGTGTGAATTTCTTACTCACGTGTCTCCCAATAAAACCTGTGTAAGCAACTACAAATCCCAGAACAATGTGTTCATGTACATAAATACTACAGGCTAGTTACAAAAATGGTGTCTGTCTCAACTGTAGTGTAACATTTTATGACAAAATAATTTAAAATGCATAATTAAACACAATGTAACAACATGTATTATTTATGACACTAGCTCATTTGAAATTACCCAAATTTCTAGAAGATAATGGTGATTATATTCATGTAAAATGGGCATGAAATTCTTATTGAAATTTGGAGATTTTCTGATTACTAACAACCCTTGCTTTTCAAGTAATTAAAGAAGATATAACGTGGCTTGATGCCTGAGAAGTAAAATAAGAAACAGAAAAATAAAAGTCAGGCTGTTCTTGCCATTAACCAAACATAGGTCTCAGGTAACAACATAACATAGCATCTGTCCCATGTATGCTACATGTGCTGCCCATCTCAGCTACTTTGATTTGCTCATTTTAGTAACATCCAGTCAGGAGTATATTATTATGAAGACCCTGTAATTTTCTTGAGCACCCTGTTCTCAAACATTCCCAGCCTGTCTTTCCTTAATGTGAGAGGCGAAAACTATTGGCAAAATTACAGTTCATTATATTTAAATTTCTAAATTTTCATATATCAGCTGAGAACACAATACATTCTGAACTGAAGGGTAGCAAGCATTCCCCAGTGTCACTCTGCATGTAACTTCTCTAAGAATACAATTTTGATCTGTTAATGTTATTCCCAGGTATTTTAAATTTGGCACATTGTCAAATGATCTCTGAGGTAAAATTAGTCACCCTAAGAGATGCGTTTTTTAAAACAGAAACAAATCAGAATATTGGCACCCCTGAGAATGGAAATAAATTATTTGTATATGTATTGCATTCCTAAAATATAAATTGAGTAGTTACAACATAAATTATCATGAGTTTTAGCCTACATTCCTAATTTTTATATAATCAAAGTAGGCTTATACAATTTTCATCCTGTCTGTCTGCGTATATCCCCCCCCCCACTCAGCTTTTGAATGCCTGAACTAAACTTTATGAAACTTGGCATGTATATCATGACACCTGAGCGTATCTCATTGAAGTACTTCATAAATCCCTCCCATCAGTCTGTGTGTGTCTATATGTATCCCCTTACTGTTGCTAGGTAACAGCTCTGTATAGACATTCCCAAAGCAATAAATACATTAAACAAAAAAATTGTTGGATGTGTCATTTTCTATGCTCATTTGTGTTATATCAAAGGAGAGTCTGTCAGTTTGTTTGTGTATCCTCCTACTGTTGCAAGGAAAATGTCTTAGTAAACACATTCCTCTGGCAATGAAGAATTGTTGGAGGTGTTGTTTTCTATGCAGTCTGTGTCATATCAAAGGAAAGGAGGTGATTAGTTCTTCCCAGAACTTCCTGTTATTCTAATTGCATTCATTCAACAATTATGGTTAACCAATAAGAATAATGAGAGATTTGAGCTTCTCATGGCACAGATAATGAAGATTATCTTCCAGAATGTGATGCTGTGTAGTCTGAGAAGTTTACCGAGGTTTCAAAGAAATGTACTTCCTACATCTTCAAGGCTGAGGAATAAGCCATACAAGGTATAAGCTTATTGCATGCTTTGCCTTATTCTTGTACCCTGAAAATGGAGTCAGTATGTTTCTCTGAAACACTGGCTAACTTCTGCCAGACTACACAGCTTCACATCCCTGAAAAAAAGATTTTTCAAGATTAATATCCCTACAGTAATATTCATAAATACTGGTCCTCAGTGATTCTAAAGTCATAAATATTTAGATTTCATTAAGGTGAAGGTAAAGATGTCTCTGCACTTAACTAATTAAGCACTACACCATTGAGGTGTATGGGGGAGTGGATGTATAGGCCCACATTTTTTGACCTCGGCACTAGTTGGAGGTGAATGTTCAGCTTCATTCCCCAGTGTCTTTACTCCCAGTACCCATTGGATAGGATGCTGGGTGGGCCCCAGAGCCAGTGTGGATGTCATGGAGAAGAGAAAATTCCTGACCCTATCAGGACTTGAAATTCATCCCCTTGGTTGTCCAGCCCATAGCCAGTTCCTATACTGACTATACTAATTTAAAGTTCGTTGTCTTCATAACTTTGCAGGCATAAGTAAGCTTCAGGCATATTCTGCAGACAGAGAAGCGTTTAGTATGCATGTTCTAATCATACTCCTATTTGGAAGTGAGAATTATGACAGAATGATCACTAACAAGCAATCTCCCTGCCTAAAGCTATAATAATCCAGAAGTTTATCATTCTTACCTGTTACCTTTAGCTACAGGAATCCTAGTCACTGGAGTTCCCAATTATTTCACTCATTACAATAATAATTACTCTGTGGGAACATCCCACATTATCACGCATTTCTGCAACGCTCGCTCTTCACATCACCTTTCACCATCACGCGCGCTAACCAATCAAATTGCTCCAAACGTTCGCATTTATACTGCGCTCGCTGCTAGCCCGCACTACATCATTACGCTCGCTAGCCAATCAATTCTTCCTCCTCAATTTCGAGTTTCGCTCCGCCCACCGAGCAGTGTATAAAAATGGGCAGCTCCAACAGCAGATCATTAGTTGACTTCAGTCTACGATCAAGCAACACCAGCCAGCAGGCTTCATTGCCAGCGCTCGGTCTTCGGAGGCATCGGCAGGCTGCGCCAGGCACAACTGCCTCGGCCCTCCGGCTCTCTCACACCCGACTCACTGGGGCACCGCGCCTGGACTCGCCGGTGGTCGTGTTACTGTCTGACCCACTCGACATCTGGCGTAGCCACTGCCTCATGACTCCTACGACCGCACTCAACGACTAGCCTTTCACCAGCAGCCGCTGCACTGCGATCAAGCAACCTCCAGCCACGGCCGCACTGGGGCCAGCCACTCACTGCAACTAGTCTCTCTCCTTACCGGCGCACGCCGCGCTACCTCTCTGATCAAACATCTCAGCAACCTCGGTCCTTTTTAGGACCAAAAAACTGTTCCGAAGAAGTGGGTTGTCATCGGAGTAATGACAAGACTACACATTAAGAACCCCACAACTCGTATATTCCACATCTGAAATCCAGTGACAGACAGTTCCCTACATTTGTGATGTTAATTATGAGAGAAATTGTTGGTATATTCTTATAAGAATTCTGTAACTCAGGGTTATATTTATAGAAGCTCAGTTTCATTTTGAAATTGATTTATTCATTAAAAATTGTGTGGCAAAGTCATTATCTTTCATATTAGTCAGACCATTATGGCAGACCGTTTGCTTTCTTATTTCGTTACTTTATTATTGTTGAAAAAGTAAAACATCTGTGTGAAGTGACACACTGGGGTTCTGTTTAAAATACAAAAGACATTATGTTAACTTCTCTAGTCCTATTTTCAATGGAAGATGATACAACTCATACTGTGCAAAACTACTTACTTACTTACTCATGGAGCTGAGCCCTTCTTAAGGAGCTGCCAATTCTGCAGCTACTCAAGAATTTCCCAGCATTTTATGGAACATGTGCAGTGTGAAGTTTTTTTTTGTTGTTGTTTATTAATTTCAGTCTGAAAAATGAACGAGGTGTTCCAGCACCCAGCTTACCACCTTAAATCCTTCCTGACTTCTGACAGTTTCAGAGGTCGAAAGATTCACTTCAGTGAATCCAGTTAACATTAAATTCATTAGCAACTGCACTAGGAACAGCAATTTATGAGGAAAGAAAATATATCATCAGAAAAGAGTTCAAGAGAAACTGAGCCATTCTTGGCTCAATTTTTCTAAGCACCCTTTAGTCACTGGTCACCTCTATCTCTGTGGTATGAAAAAGCCTTGCCTTTCCATTGCCTACAATATATTATTTTGCAATCTTTGTTCTTCAAATTTTGAACTGCATACTATATTTTGGTATTAGCCTTATTTTGCATCTATATTATATTGTTCTGCTTTTCTTGTGCTCTCTCGTGAATTCTCTTTCATACAGTTTGCTACCCATCATGAGCCAGTGTCTGTCTGTTTCAACCCTGTACTTCCCAGACATTTTCATTCCAAGTTCCATTCTATTTCTTTAGTTACTGCAGTTACTACTGGTTTCATTATATATCACTAGGTATCTCCATTCCCACCCCAACTTTGGGAAGCATGTCTACCCATGACAATTTGGGGATGACAACTTGAGCCCTCTTGAACCCTACTTGACAAGAACAGCTCGGTGTTTCTATTGATGTGTGCACAGATTGTTACATACAAAATATAAAATCACTGAATGTCTAATCCTATTCAAAGTTTCAATGTGTTAATAGCTGCACTATCTCTCAGCTTCAAGTAAAACTGTTACAGCTTAAAAATAAGTCATGAAAGTGAACAATTAGTCTGTTTTCTCCTTTTATTTGCAAATGTAGTCTACAACTGAATACATGTCTCATCTATAGTTAGTGCCTTGTAACTTTAGCCGCGCAGAAAGGTAAACGCTGTTGTGGAGCACATGAAGCTGTAGCTTGTTGTGGTGACATTCAGAGCTACTCCCCAAGTGGAAAACATTGCTTACAGAGACCAGGAGTAGATACACAAGACCACACTCCATGACGATACATTCCAAACTGGTAGTACCCACGCTGATGTAAGCTGATAAGACTGCTCCCCCAGCTCCACAGGAGATGGTATGACCCCTCTACCATGGCTAGAGTGCCGAGTAACCAACAGTACTTTTCTCTCTAATAATGTTGGTGATTTTCACTTGGGAAATGCCTGATTTGCATCTTGACCATTGTATTCCACTGAGGTTTCGCGTATTTCTTTCCTAAGAACCTCAGACAAATTGCAGGATGTCTGTTACCTTGAAACAAAGCATGATCACTTTCTCCAACATTTCTTCCAATTTATAATAGTCTTTACATTTCATAAGGCACTAAATAGTTCTACAGTTGATACAATCCACTACTAAATAGTCATAAAATCAATAATACTACTTGCCATTCATAATAGATGCCAAGACTCCGATCAGGAGGGAAAAACCTTCTCTCTACAAAGTAGAGCTGATTGTAATACTGGAATAACAGCGCCACACCTGAACTGTCTCGCAGTGGAGTCCGCATTGCCTGGACATAGAGGTTAACATTTCCTAGAGAACTTTAAGAAATTATATGTCTGTACACAATTAACTGCTTGTCAAGTTCATGGTCTGATCCCATACAAAATATACAAAGTGAGTTAATTCTCAGAAATTAGTTAATTTACTAATTCTTAAAATTGAAGCTACTTTCAGCTTTTCAGGACAGTCTGGTTCAGACCCCAGATGAATTTCATGCTTGACTAACCACACAACTTAGGATTTCCATACCACTTCATGGAACTGATCTTTCCTACATCACAGTGAAAGTGAAAATGGTAAATTTCACCTCTTCTTTTCCACTGTTGTTTATTTCTTTATTACTACCTCACAGCAATGAACGTGACTCAACTATTGGTATGGTTTATTACTGGCACAAGTGCAACTCACTTCCTGTATAAACACCTAAAAGCAGTTTGATTTCTTTCATTCTAATCCGTCACACTAACAATATCATGAGAAGTTAAACAGTTCCATCCAGTGTGACTGGGGAAGATTTTTCTTACTTCAATTATTCATGCCCTTACATGTTTCGGTCTTCAGAGATCATCATCAGAGGGGCACCTTTGCATCAATAGAGTTGGAGGCTACTATTACAATATATGTTCTGAAAGTTAAAATGTATACAAAAAAAATAATATACAGTTGGGTATAAAATCCAAAGTCTTTACAACTACAGCGGCTGTTCCAATAATTTAAAATATTTATAGTTGGTTTGTTAAGATTCTATTTGAATTTGTAAACCAAGCAGGTTCCTGTCGTCCCCGTCAAGAGAAATAATAAGAGGAACGACATGAACTTGCTTGGTTTACGAATTCAAATAGAGTCTTAACAAACCAATTATAAATACGGTTGCTGTAGTTGTAAAGACTTTAGATTTTGTACCCAATTGTATATTACTTTATATGTATACATTTTAACTTTCACAACATATTTTATAATAGTAGCTTCCAACTGTATTGATGTAAAGGTGTCACTCTAATGATGGTCCCTGAAGACCGAAACATGCAAGGGCATAAATAATTGAAATGAGAAAAATCTTCACCAGTCACACTGAATGGAACTGTTTAACATTTCATAACCAAAACGCAATTATTATGTGGCGTTACTATGATCTAAGAAGTATGAATTCTTGAACCACTGCTATATGGTCCTCCTTCCAGACCTCTCTGATACTTTTAAAAGAATCTTATTTTAAGAGTCTTGTAATATTCATTTCTAAAGTAATTTTCAAGCTCTCAGGTAACAATCTTGAAGTGTGATGACTTTATTTACTGAGAATTTCTGCACACTGTAAAAACTGGCATGGGATCAGTCACCATCACCAATGCAATACATGGATAATTAGCCATCCACTCCACCTCCTAACCTTCATTTATACAGGATTGATTTTCTATCAGTATTGTTGAATGTTCAAAAAGAAAACCTGATATTCACTATTTCATATCACAATCCTATTGGTATCAATTGTCTACAATGATTTCAGTGTTGATTGAGACCCAGTGTACACAATTGTGTACCAAGTATATTTTGAAAACGGGTACATATATTTTTATAAATCTTGCTTCTAAAATCATTAAAAAATCACCTAAGAGCATTAGAGCATAAAAAAAATTTTCCTTCCTCCAGAAAAAATTCAGGTCTGAAGGGGTTAATTCACAAGTCAGGAACTGAACCACTACAACATGCAATCACTGGCAGAATTAGCCATGGAAGGGGTCCTATCCTTAACTGCTAGCAACAAGGATTTCTATATAGTGACAGAAATAAAAAAATGACAAGTCTTGTGTCTGTACTAGCATACATATGTGTATGTATGGACAAGTTTTGCTTAATTTTGAAATGACTCATCTTTCAGACTGTGTTACGCACATACAATGGAATTGTACAATATTGCCGTCAATATTTTCCACTGTCCCGTATCAAACACAGCCTAAAGTTTGGAACACCATAGGTGCTCCATACAGTGTTCACCATAATCACCATCATCATTGCCTGTAGTCCAAACTTAATATATACGAAAGCATATTAGTTATTTAAAAATAAAATTTGCCTCTCACCCTTTATGGATTCTGTTCATTCATGGACACCTACAGCTATAAAGAAAGATTACTCCATTTTAAGGTACATCATCACTTCGAAATTAATCCGCCTGTTAGACGTAATTCTGCTGGTACTGAAATTTGCAGAAATCCTGACATCTTGAACAAAGACTGTATATTGCTTGAAGCCACTTTTCATTCCTTTCACTACTCATCACAGAATGTAGCCTGTAACTTTCTTAGGATCCATGCTCCTAAGGTTTTATTTTCTGGATTCTGAACATGTTTTCATGTTATCTGATAATTCTTATTGCATTTTGCTGTATTATCTGCATTTTATTATACACTGGTCCCTGCATTGGCAATATTAATTGCTTCCACAAAAACCATTGTTAAATGTAACAGTAATAAATAAAATATGAGACATAGATGACAAAGGCTTAATTCACTCCAAGACGATCAAAAGTTAGCTTTTCCAATTTAAAAGTATAGCTTATAATATTTTATCATGTAGTTTTAACAAATAAACATTATAAAAACATACTCTTGCATTAATATTAATGGAAACGAAGATAAATAATGAACAAATAGATCATAAAATAAAAATTCAGGGATCATTAGTGGTGCTGGCTTGAGCTGCTGATAACTCTAATTTTGGTCCCTTTCTGATGGAAGTGTCATCAAGAACTACCTGCTGTGCTGACTTTCTCTTCTCCATTAAAAACTTCTGGAAGCAGGAAATCCATTTTTCCTGAAAAATGCAGAGTAACAGTTCAGTTTGCCCTGTGGCTGGATGTCTGGATAGCATTCTCTTCATTGTGTACCAAACAGTTCAAAGTTTTTTGATCTCATAAGTGAACATCCTGCCATATTGGTTTCATTGCTCCTTTCCACTATTATGTTAAATGAAGCTGTCCAATTCTTGCAGATCCTTAGTGGTGAGATATGTGGTTCACTTCAAGCCTCATTAATTCTCCAAGCAGGCCAGTTTCAACAAAAGAAAAACCTTAAAATCCCTAAAATTTTGTTGCATTGCTGGCTGAAGATGTTTCCATGCAGTACTCAAGAAGTGCACTGACACCTCTTTCCATGCTGCCACAGTGTTCCTTGCAGCCTCCAGAATGTTACATTTTGTTTTCCAGAATTCCTTCAATGTTATAGCACTGCCACCTGATATTGCTTTATGTCATTTGTGGATAACTTTCTTGGTGTGCATCCTCTTGAAATCTATAATGATTGGTTGATACATAGGCTAGGTCAAAGATGTGGAGCTGGGTGGCAAGAACTTCAATTGGATAGAGGGAAATTTAGAAATCAAAGAGGAAGCAAGCTCAGAGTCATGGCCAGATGTATTTTCCAGGAGCATCTTCTTCTTAGTCAGGTATGACTTCACAGAGGGGCTAAAATAACTTCAGAATCCTATTCATAAAATACTGCCTAGTGATCCATGACTTACTGCTGAACTCCAAAACACCTTCAGTTTCAGAGATGATGAGTTTCTGTTGCTTCAAGACCCTGGCATTGTCAAAATGGTACATACGCATGGGCTTCAACTTAAAATCTCCTGAAGCATTATAATTAAACAACAAGATTAGCCTGTCCTTCAGAGGCTTTTGGCCTTGCAAAGTAATTTCATCCTGGGAGATTTATGTTCTCCTGGGCATCTTCTTCTAGAAGATGTCAGTCTCATTAATATTGAACATTTGTTGAGGAAGATGGCCTTCCTCCTGCATCAATTCTCCAAATTCAGCCTTCAATTTCTGTTCCCCTTTCTTATCTGCACTGGTAGTCTCATTATGCCTAACCTTAATTTTTATTTTGGTTATCTCTTAGATTTTTAGAACCACCTCCTACTAGCCTAAAATTCTTAAAATTGTGAACCAGAGGACTGAGGTGATTCATGCTTCAAGTCTACAAAATCTCTCTAGCTCTGTTACAATTGAAATTGGATCTTATAGATCTATCTTGCATTCGCTATTCAGAAGTCCATATCAAAAGAAGTCTCCTAATTTCCAATAATTTTCCCACCTTCAAAAATTCTGGCCAAGGCATCTTTCACACTCACTGTTTTTAATTAGGCCTTCTGTAGAATGATTGTGGAAATGGTGGATTGGGTCAGGTCGTATTCTACACCCTTCATGCTCTTCAATAATTTCCAGCATAATTTGAATATTAGATGTTTTTCTCGCTTTCTGGTATTCCTTTTCATTCATTTTAGGGGCCACTGATATTGATCTTATTTCAATTTTATATTAAAAACTCTTAAGTATCGAAGAGTGCTGTTTCCACAAGCACTGCACAACAAACACTGATCCCAGGACTGAAACCCAAGCTAGCTGAGCTCCAAACCTGCACAAAACAACACTGCCATTTAGCTAAGGCCTGCTGAATACACTTATGCGTGCTCTGATTTGCCAAAGTTTTGGGATGTTTGATGTAAACACATTGTCACTTGTGGGTGTGACTATGAGGTGAAGTGACGGGAGGCTGGAGAAAACTGCATCATGAGGAGCTTCATAACTTGTACTCTTCTCCAAGTATATAATTAGAATGATCAAGTCAAGGAGGATGAGGTGGGCAGGTCATGTAGCACGAATGGGGGATACAAGGAATGCATATAGGATATTGATGGGAAAGCCAGAAGGAAAGAGACCACTGGGAAGACCAAGGTGTAGGTGAGTGGACAATATTAAAACAGATCTTAGAGAGATAGGATGGGATGGTATGGATTGGATTGATCTGGCTCAGGATAGGGACCAGTGGAGGGCTCTTGTGAACACGGTAATGAACCTTTGGGTGCCATAAAATGTTTTTCCCGAAGATCCTGAGGGATGTCCTCTCGCTTCGAAGACGTAGCCACTCCTTTAAGTTTCGGTTCTTTATGCCGTTGTTCCATTCCGGTTTCTCCCGAATCTCTTCCCGAATGTCTGCCCTTTCCAGGTTCTTGGTACAGCCTCGGCCCTGGCAATCCATTACGCCGTGCAGGAATGGCACAGCGTGTTAACCGTTCTCGGGCAGAGGCCAACTCCTTCCGGGACACACCACTGCCCTAGGTCTGTTTCTTCGGCTGACTGCGGCACCTTATGACTAGACGCTGGTCCCTATACTGCTTCTTCAGTGCTCCAAAAGTTTACACTGCGGCCTCTTCCTTAGGGACCTCCTCATGCTTCGCCTCAGCCTCTATTTCTTCTGGATTTGCCTCCGAGTCTGTGGCCTCCGTCTTTACTAGACAGGCCTCCATTTTCTCTAGCTGGGAGTCCATCTTTGTCATCATCTTTTCGTGATGAGCTTCCATCTTGGCCAGCATTTCCTCTTCAGGAGTTCTTGTCCGGCTCTCATTTCCCTTATACTGGCGTCCGAGTTTGTCTGGTTTGTTTTTCACTTCAGCCTTCACTTCGCCCAGCAGGCATTCCTTCATCTATTGCACTTCCACAGGGTGGCGATATAGCTTCTCCACGTCACGTACCAGAGTGTGATTCCAATCTAGTCACTTCTGACTACTTAGCATGTATATAGAGTGACTACAGACGGGGTTTGGACTGGTGAATCTATTTACTAATCACTTGTACACTCATGAATCGTAGGTACAAGTAATTACAGCGCCGCCGCTATTCTTCACAATTCACAAATCACCACAGCACCCGTTATGCCTTTTCCTACCAGCTCTGTCTTCATCAGCCATTCCATGGCAACTGCTTCTCACAACGGGGATTCTTCTGCTTCACGTGCTGAGGTTCTATCTTCATAGCCTTCCATGCAAAACAACAACCAAGTCTAAGTCAAAGTCACCAACTTTGTCTCTTGCTTATAACAGCTCAGCACGGACCACGTAGAAACACCCCGTTTCCAACAGTAACTCTTTGTTGCTTAAGTATTGTTTGCAACAGGAACGTGTTTATCGAGCCATTTCACAGAAACGATCGTTGTTTACAGAGTCGCCACGGATATACAGTGGGACCATACAAGTAAGTCGTTACACGAAATTTCGTTAATTGATGGCACTGTAAACTGAGGGACAAATGTATATTGTTTTTTTTTGTTTTAATTATAGACTATATGGATTGCTTTTCATAAAATAACTTTATGGTGTACTAGAAGTTTAGGTTGGGTTAGTTGTAAATTATACTCCTGAATAACCACGTTTATGAGAATTCTAAAACCTACATTTCCAATAATCCTCATGCAAGCACTTACCTGTCGAATGTCCATGAACTCAGCAATGGAATCTTCATACCGACTTCCATCCTCGCTATAGTGTTCCAAAATGAAGTCCTGTAATTATAAGACAAAATTATCTACAGTGAAGACATTCTTCGACATTATCGTTCTGTGCATGTCATATACTGCACATCATCACTGGTAAGTGAAACAATGAGATCCTGGGAACGTAGCTTTACATGCTAGGGCCTTCAATCCACAATTATATTTATAATAAGGTAAATTGTCCTTTGTATCATCAATGTCAATGACACAATGTCGGAATAGTGAAGCTAGTCTTAACAGTCAATGTTGCTGGGTTATTCTTAAAAAGTACTGCTTGGATCTTGGATTATTTAATTATGCTGCTTCCACTAAAGACGCTATTTAGCATCAAAATGAGAATAAGAATATAATTGTGTGTGGTTAAGTAGGATGGATTGAAAAGGAAGTGATATTGCCTACGTCAATGTACTATCCTAACATTAACTTTGAAGAACTGAGAAAACGAGATAAAGTCTTATTCAGTATACTGTGTGTCTGTTACTTCATAACTGCTGTATCATTCTATTCTGTGGAGGCCTACACAGTAGGAAATTTGAGAAAAAAATAGAACTGGCATCAATATAATCAAGAAAATAACACGTGAAGACACAAATCAACACTTCAAGTATTCTAAATTTTTAATAAAGTCAGAATGATATCATTTAGCTAAAATAATTCACTCAGAATTATTGAGGTTTTGGCTTTTCTTGTTATCTCCTGCCGAAGTAGCTTCGTCAGATGTGATTAAATAGCTGTGTGAATCTGACAGGGGCTGTCCAGTGATTGAGGTTAGCTCTTTCTAAGGGACCCAACTGAGTAGGTGTCTTCACCCCCTCACCTGAGGAAGGTAATATATCCACTTCGTACGGGAATAAATAACAAACATAAACGTAAATTTTGTGTTAATATTTACTTGTAGTCGTGTATTAACTACTATAAACATGGCGACTGTGCGAATCTTTGTTATATCTGGGAAATTTGTGGAATCTGTACTAACTGTAGGTATTGTAAGTCACGCATACAGATGTATTATTGAATTGTACTGGTCCTATTTCATAGTTTCCTCTATCCTCACCCGTGGTGACTGAATCATCTGAAAGAAAGCGTCATATGTTCTTCCCACAACTTATTTCCCTTGAATCACGATGAAGTACTCTTTCTTGTGTGCCAGAAGATATCCTGCAGTTCGGTTTACAAGTTGCAATACTGTACAGGCCTACATTGTAGCCCTGATAACCGTCAATAGCATTCCGAACTGGAGGACAGTGTATACGGCAAAATGAAAACGCCTAATTAACAACTGCGACGTTCTGGAAAATTATACACAGAGTAACAATGAAAACAGCTCCGGAACTACCATTAGTTAAAATTCCCATCCTCTGCATCAGTTTCCTGTAGGCCTATATATATCGCAATGCAACAGAATGTTCCAGTCATAGTTTGTTTTCGTGTGACTACGCAGGAATTTCTAGTCTGCTGGAAATTGTATGAATATGTCTGTTTTTCTAACAAATAAAGACCTAGCAACAACGTATAAAAGTAAACAGTTTCTATACATGTACGCAGTCTTCATTCAGTGAGGTATGGGCTCGTTCTTTATTCGTCCTTATGCACCACCGAATAACTATGGATAACATATACACGGATTATGAATTACACTGACTTTCCAATGAAAGCCTTTGAAAAATGACAACGTATTCCCAGTCTGCATCGTTATCAGTGGAAGTAACAATGGTCACAAATAGATAAAATTTATAAAGTAAGGGTATCTCCGCTCTTAATGAAGTAAATAAAGACTTTCTGCGCTTAATTTATGCACCGCGCCAGAAAGACTCGTGGGTGAGATGGAGGCATAACTCCACGAATTTTAACCCCGTCATCAAATTGAAGTGAATGGTCTGCTTTTATAATTCGGTCACTATAACTCCCGTGAAAAAACCCACGGCGCTCCTTCAATAGGATGTTGGGTGTACCCCAAGATGTTCTGGACGCGCTGGCTTAGAAAAAGAAAAAAAAAACTTTCATTGACCCTACTGAGAATCAAACTCGAGTTACTTAACACTAACCTACTCACTGTGCGAAAAAAATTAACAGAAATTTAAAAACTGTACAGGATTACACGAGTAAGGTAAAGTTGTCCGTGTGCTTATTTCATTAAACACTATACCATGAAGACATATGAGGGACAGGAAGCACAGCTCCACCTTTCTTGACCTCGGCACTAGATGGAGGCTCGTGGTAGCTTTTCATATAAATGTCTACACAAAATTACTGAGCTATCTAGCTTACCAAGCTGTATCAAGTGCGACGGCTATGTAAAGTGGAATGCAATATGCGAGAACGAGGTCTGGGCGGAAATGGCCATGGAATATTTAAATATCCTACTCTGCCACTGGCCTGTAGGGATTACGGATGTTCATTTTAAACTTCGGTCGGCATATCCGACGCCTGCTTAGCACTCTGCTTTCCAGGATGCAAATTAGACTCGTTACCGCTCACAACATAAACTGAATACCACACACCAAGCGTACGAATTGACCCAGTGTTCGCTTTTATGCACGTACCCTCACCTATACTTTCATATGGTCCTCGCCAGTACAGTGATTCTTGGTTCCAAGTCTTGTGGGACTCATGATCATATTTCAGTGTCCGATGGTTCTATGAACCTTCATACTGATTCTATGCCTAGTCTTGCCAATAAAAGTCTGAATTGCGTATGTTCTGTCACAGTGTCTAGCGGTAACGGAGTTGGAATTACGGCTGGAACACTGTTTACTCGTACATTCAATCCTTCCAGGCTGACGCTGAGACAGCCCTTTGGAACAGGCTGCTACTGCGTTCCATTGCGTTATTCCCAGTCCATCATACATAATATTCACAAATGAAGAATATGTGTTGTCACGTGACTGAACGAGGAGCGGGAAGGGAACCATGCGGCTTGATCGACGCGCGCCTGTATCTAGAAGCTTCGAACACCCCTGTCTCCCTTTCTTGTTCTCCTTCCTTCGAGAATCTCCGTCTGACTTCAAAGTTCTCGAAGTTCCAACCGGCATGAAACTATGGCTGAGAAGCTCAACAAGGCAGCTTGAGAGAAGTAGACTTTCAGACGGAGTCCGCAGAAGTCTATGTCCCGTGCAAGTGCAGTGCTATATGTGCCTCAAACGACCGTCCACAGAATTCTTCGGAAGAGACTACGTCTAAAACCACTCCAGTTACACATAAACTTCTAATGTGGCGTGCCGCCAGAAAGCCGGGATGGTTGAGGAGATCAGAGTTGATTTCCTAGGCAACAACCAAGGTTCCCATGACAGCGGCTAGGAAGCAGAACGCTAGCAGTTCCTAAGAGTGGAGTTTCCACCGTTACACATGAATTGTTTGAAGCAGCGGGCTAGGTTAACCCTTCGACGTGGCATTCCCTATTGAGTCGGAGTGCAAATTATGACTCAACTGCGACAAGAAACTAGTTCAGTTTGTATTTGACCTTAGAACAGAAGAGTTCCTATCCGACAGGGACAAAGGACAGTTGAGCTCCGAACAGAAGACACTTGGCCAAGACAGCGGTGCAAGAAGTTGTAATATTTAAGAAGAAATGTCTAAAGGGCTTTATATGTGGAATAATTGTACTTGCGACTGTAAAAGTGACTATCCAATAAATATCCGTTCAAATCCGAAACCCACAAAATTTTTTGTCGCGTTGCCTAGCAAACACGTGACAATATGATAAAATATTTGAATCGCAGATTTCGGCATACACGTGCACACAAAATTTGGAACACCATCATTCCTTACATCGTAATACCTTTACTGATGCAAATTTTCATATCTCAGGACACCTCAATCAGACAACTTTGTTAAATGGGGCAGCGAGCCTCCCAGAGAACTCTTAGAACATGACCGGGTTAAAGAGTGGTGAGCGTTAACATATGAAAGGGTCATTCGCCCGTTTCCTTTGACGAGGGTCTCATTACAAGCAATTCATTCCTTCACATGTTGAAAAAGTATGTTCTTCCGCAGCTCAACAACACCAGCCATTTACTCTTCCACCGGACGGTGCGCCTGCTCATTGGACTCACATTTTCCGTGGAACATTGAAGGCGAATTTCCCAGGTGGATGGACAGAAGAGGAGAACCAATTGTGTGTACCCCTCAATCTCCTGATCTTGCGCTTCTGGACTTCCTTCCTTTGGGCTATGTGAAAGACCAGGTGTATGGCCAAAGGGTGAATACGCTGGAAGAACTCAAAGCATGAATCACAGCAGCAGTTGCAGATGTTACAGCGCGTCTGGCAAGAGTTGGACTACAGGTGGGATGTATGCAGAGCTACAGATGTGAAGATACTGTGAAGTATTTCGTACCCAATAACTTTACAATTCTGTGTAAAAGTACTGTTTCATTGAATAAAATGTTCCTCATGTCAGTTTTCGTTCCCAAGCTACAGGTGCCTGACATCCGGGAATTCATTTTGGTTAATCTTGAAACCTTATTTCCAGTCCTGAGACGAATTTCTTAGCATGTTCTGTAAATTCGATGACTATTTTCACAAGGACGTTTCAGGTCTGTGCTACACAGCTGCAACCCTTTACCTCCATTTCTTTATAATAAGACTAACAGAACACACTGACAAAGATCTTCTGTTAGATGTGAAAGAACATCCGGCGAGTATGGTCCCACTTAGTAAGCTACCGTAAAACTCGATGTTCAACACCGTCAACATGTTTGTGAATGTTGACTTAAAAACAATGACCCTATTTCATATACAGAGTGTCCGGATGAAAGGTATCCAAAATAAAATAATTATATCTCAGAAAACATTTAATATACACATTTATGGGTTACGTCATTACAAAAGGAAATTTGAGTATATAACTTTGTCAATATATTTCAATGTGGGCTACCTTGGCGACACGACAAATATCCAGATGATATTCGACTTCGTTCCACGTTGCTTGAAGCATGTTTGGTGTTACCGTAGTCACAGTGCCCCTTATGTGGCCTTTCAGGTGTTGAAGGTCATTGATCTTAACCGGGCA